TCCATTGTGCAAGAGGCTGAAGAGTGCAGACGTATTATGATGTTTCGTCTCCTTTCCATCAAGCCGGCTGGACAAGATGAAAGACGAGAAGCACGTTCACGTTGCGTTGTGCGCTTGTTGCGTATGACAACGTGAAACGTTTTTCCGAGATTTACAATCTTGGAAAATGTCCATAATATTATTGATAATAAATGCGATCATCCTCAATTAGAGATGGCCACATTCAGCAGATACAACTGAGTTAAGAAATGATCACTTATGATTGGATCATACTTTTAGAACCGTAGCAGATTTTGAGGAATAGTCCTATCACAAGTGATCATCTCTCAACTGTTGTGCAACTGTTGTGTCTGCTGAACGCGGCCAATGATAAAACATCTCAAGATACATTGTATATTTGTATTATTATTCAAAAATGTAATGAGACTATTATTTATCTCGGGTATTTTTTGGTTTTTATGCATAACTCTTAAACTTTAAATGCCAGTACAAATAAAAGTAGAGATGATTGACTCTTCAAAAAATTTTGTTAAATTTTTGATATATTGAAAAGGACCCGAGATAAATTTCATTATTGTCTTTTTTTCTGTACAGCCGTTTTTCTATTCGAGCAATAAATACAAAATGCAATCTAAAATACGAATTATTCGTTTGATTGATATAACAGGAAGGTCCAGGACTCTCTTAATATCGTACATATATTTATAAAATTATAATATAAAAAACTATAAACAATTTTAGAATGTTTGCAGAACATTAGGAAATGTAGTTCAATATAAAAAAGAAAACAAGAATAACTCAAAATATAGAAAAACAGTTGAAAGTTATTACAAAAATGTAAAAAATTAATTGTTATAAAATCAAATAAGTTTGGTAATCGATGACTAATTAGAGTACTTTCTTTATTCAATTGTTTTGAGTGTGAAAACATTCTTATTGTTAAATATTGTCTATTTATGGCAGTTATCAGTTGAATACGATGTGGAATTTTTATTCCAATTTCTAATTCGTCGAAGCATCTATTATCTAATAGAAATACATCTGAATTTAAATGAAGAAAGAATATATTTAAAATTTCTAAATTTTCTTGTTACTCAAGTAACAATTCATTGTATATACTTCTTTTTTTAGAATCTGTTTATGGTCTCTTATTAAAAGAAAAAATTCTTTTTCAGTACTCCAAACAATCTTATAAACATTAGATGATGCATATATTAATTTTCTATTATTTTTTAAATCAACTAATATTGTATATGTTCCTAATTTATTTTTTTTACCAAAAACTTCCTGAATAATATTATTTATACAAGCACTACATATAACTATTTTGACTAGTTTTTGTACATTATTACTGGAAATATAATATAAAATATTGTCAGTAATGATAGTATTATTAAGTAAGTCAGAATCTCACACAGAATCATTGTCAATTGTATAATTGTTTGATTCCCATTGTATGTTTCCCTACATTTTTGATGTAATAAGATGCTTCCATTTTTTATTTTACAACAATCTCACACAGGTGACACGCGTCACATAGGACCGCCGCTATTTTCTCGCATACAACTGAAAACTGCATGTGACACAAGTTTATAGCAATCTAGTTTAGTATGACCATCTGTGCTTGTTTTGCGTATCTCCCTTATTAGAAAGTTACTCCACTCCATAGCCATTGGTTGAGTATCTCGTGAACAACGCTATTCCCACTTTGCCTGCTTTTCTTCTATGCGTAATAAGATTCTCTTCTCTCTTTGTACTTGTGTAGTCGGCCCGAGACAAAGATAGATGACATGATAGAGACAACAAGAATAGATGTGTCTCTCCAACGCTTCTGCTAAAACTGCATTAATCGTAATTTTCTACTTTCTTTTCTCACAAGCTTTAAAATTTCTTTTTGAAGCGCTCAAAATATTTGTAAAAAAGTAGAAAATAGAAATTAGTTTCTAAAATATCTCTAGAAGTAAAAAAATATAGTGTTTTTTGGATTCACACTGCCAATTTTATACATGAGGTGAAAATATGGACTATGTCGTAACAGTTTATAAAATTTGTTTTTTTCTTAAATTTTTCACTTTTTTAGATGTTCCCTTTTATTCTGAAAAAGCGTTTTTCATTCCAATCAATAAGTGCAAAATAAGTAAAAAATTAAAAAATGCCGGTAAAACAAGACGGTTCAGCATTTTCTTAATGATAAACACTAATGATAGTATAAATTTTATCTTTTGTCGTAGTCTTTTATTTAATTAAAAATATTGTAGGTTTTTGCAGTCACTGCTAAGCAAGTCTTATGTTACATAAAACAAATAATTAAATAAATAAATCTCTAATACAAATTTCTTTAAACAATAATTTAATTTTCAACTGTATATCATAATTAAAAAATTAATTTTACATACATATTAAAGTATCTAGAAATCGGCGTTTTATTAGCGAAGTGTTCGTTATTACAATTTCGACGCAGACTTATTCTTTTCGATGCTCGTGATATTATGCAATACATGTCACTAATCGTGCCGATAGAAGAATCGGATCTCGGGCCGATGACAAAGATCGAAAGAGAAAGAGTGATAGTAAGAGACGGAAAAGATCTACTTTTCTTGATCGCGCACGATATGATGTATTTATATACCGTGACTGAATAAGCACAAAAATCGGAACGGTTTATTTGCGATAAGTTAAATTTCTTATCACAAGTCTTTTCCGTTCTGATTTTTCGGCCTGCATGTAACCGTATTCTAAATGAGAAGAAGTTAAATAAAATAGTCCTTTTTACATGCAACACCAGTGTAATTCCTTTGAAATGTACACCAAACAATTGCGCGCAGATATTACTACGCTCCTTATTGTACACATTCACACAGATTTCGATAATTTTCACTATTACCTGTTTTTCTCTGTACATCATCTACGAAGGAAACTTTTTTCTCCTAGCCGCTTCGCCAATTTTGTTAAATTGAGACTCCTCAAGATTTTTTAATCAACCCATTAAAGTCCATTTTTTTTCTAAAATAAAAGGCCATTTTATTATTTTAACTTCATTAATGAGTCAATAAAAGTCGGTATTCATAGATGAATTTTATATCAAGATTAACTTAAGTTTATTTCAAGATGTTCTGAATGCTATTCTAAATAAAGAACAGCATTTTAAGATAAACTTAACACAATCTTAAATATAAAATCAGATTATGAATACCAGAAATCTTGCTGTGATTTTAATTGAAGTCTTTTATAAAGCTTGGTAATCTTATATTAATGCTTCTATTATTTGTAACTGATTTGTTTCCTGATTTTAGATTTCTTTCTTTTACCAGCTTTGAGTTGTATATTCTTTATTCAACTTAATTATTATTTATTCTTCAATTAATTTTTAGATCGTTCCTTCACTTTTCAAAGACATTAATAGATCAATATGTGGTAATCTATATCTCTTATAAATAAAAATAATATACTTTTATAAATCAATCTTTTATATCATAATACTCTGATTGATTGTGTGATCAAGATATTTAAGCCGGTATTCACAATCCGATCTTATATTTAACCGTTTTAAGTTCATCTAAGAAGATGCTGTACAGACTGTTTAATAGTTGCAAATTATATGAAGATTAACTTAAGATGTTTTTTTTTGTCTTTTAAATATAAGATCTAACTATGAATACTAGCCTTAATGTCATATGTGCTACCTTTAAGCCCAGTCCGTTACATATGTAAATGCCATTGATTAAATCTTCTGAATATATATTCTAGTGAATCCATATAAACAGATCTATAACTTATTTATTCTAGCAGAGATTAAAATCGACAAAATCTATAATACCAAAGACATACGAAAGTAATAATTTTTACATTTACTTTGTACGGTAGTTATCGCGTAGAATCGATTTCTTTCCAACTCTTCCAAATTTAAACCACGTATTAACCTTTAGACCGCCGGTATGACGCCATTTGATGTCTTCAAATAAAGTGTATAGTTTTTGTTTGTGTACATGTGTAATTTTTATTTTAAAATTCCACTTATGTGCTCATATGCATTCATATCTGTATATTAATGCGAGTTTCGTTTTGGAATAATATATATATATCTCGATATCAACAAAATGTTTTACATATATATATATACACACACACACCGAGGAGTAATTATTGAATAAATCAAGCCAATCAGCGCCGACCTTTAGCCGAACGCACGTCAGTCACTGATTGGCTTGATTTATTCAATAATTACTTCTTTATTATATGTAATAGAAAAAAATGGTTCAGGATTTTTCAGCTCAGGTTTACTCCTTCTACCTGCCTACTAAAGCTGTTAAAGTAATTGTCGGACATCTTGTATATATATATACATTAGTATATAATAATATTACACAGTAAATAAAAAACATAAATACATATAAAAGAATAAACATACCAAATAAATAAATAAATAAATAAATTTTAAAAATTAAAAACTTAAAAAAAATATTTTATACATATATATATCTACATATATACATATATACATGTATAGGGACATACATACAGATTTTCGTGATTTTAATTAAAAAAATGTAATCAATACAATCAAAAATCTTCGAAAACCTTCATTTTATGAATTAAAAAAGGTTTTTATTTTTCGCTCCTGTACGCTGCCGGTATGACGCCATATGGCGTTACGCGATGACTCACATATTAAACAATATTGAACAATATATAATAGACATATACATACATGAAATATTATAGGGCTTTATGAGGGATCTATCCATGATTTTGGATTTTAAAATCCCGGTGGTCTAAAGATTAAGCAAAAAGCTTTGAAAGTGCTCGTGAAATTTCTAAATGTTTGACCGTTCTAAAGTTGAGATAATTGCAATTATAAATAACACTTTTTACATATGTTATTATATGCGTAAACCCATTAAAAAAGGCACATTTTAAACTCTAGCTGTCAAACTATATTTGCGACATTGATAAAAAACTAGAATGCGGTAGATTACCATCATACAAATATTATAAAAATACTTTAGAATTATTGACCGTCTAGTTGTCGAAATAAAGATTGCGCGGAAAAAGTATAATATTTCTTGACAAGGCATAGTTAGGCAGGTAACAGTGGTAACAACGTCGTCATTCGCACAACATATTTCTTAGATCTTGACCCATCACTTATTTGTGATTTTCTTGCCTGTGAAAAAAATGGTTTTTAAGCGTTTTTTTAATATTTGTATTGAAATTGAGAAGTTTTCATTTTAGTAGTTTCGTTTGACAGCTAAGCAAACTGACAGATTTGGTTAGACGCGCGCGATGTTGTCACATTGCCGTTCGATGTAAAACGTGGATAATCGTTATCAAAAGTTTAAGTACCACACTAGCAAAAAAGTAAAAATTGTTTACATACAGATGTTTTGAGCATAATAAAACTACTTATTTATTTCTACATTAATAACATGTTGATAAAATAGAGTCTGGAATATTCGTACGACGATGTGAATCGAGTTCTGAGAATATTTTTTCGTAGCGTAAAATTCAACTTGTGAGTGAGATTGTCACGCGATAACTACCTTAAGAATATGCCGAAATACAATAAGCATGCAAAAATAATCATCTTTATAAAGAGTTCAAAATGTGATTTGTTTACACAAGTACGTGCAGACATTGGATACTCAATAGGAAAATTTCATTTTTGTAAGGAAAAACATATCAATATACACTATATTATATTGTTAGAATCTTTGTAGAATATAAATTCTCCTATTGAATACATCGAATGTCGGATGCCAAAAAAAGCTTATAAATATATGCTTTGTCAAAGAGAATTACAAGACAAGCCAAATAATTAGTACGGTAAACGTGAGATTTACTATACTACATGCGCGTTAATGAGTTTTTACGCTTATTTATCTAGATAATCGATTTTCCTGTGCTATAGACACGCAAAAATGATTCTTATTTCTAATGGGTTGATTAACCATAATTTAAATGATCGTCAGCACTTGACCTATTAACGTCCATCATCTTAAAGATAATTAAGTCACAATCCCTTATTCTCATTATTAGTCGATCACTAGAATCTTATCGCGATTTTCGACTCTTATTTATCTCGTTAGTTCTTTCTGCTCAATACTTGGGGAGATCGCCAGAAATCTAATAAATGTCGAAAATTATCGGAGTGACTGTCAGGCAAGGAAATTTTGCCATTGTGGACCCCGGGGCCCAGTCAGCCCTAGGCGTTCGATTCCTTGAGCGACTGTAATTTTTCTAGCTGATCTGGTTGCAGTTCATCTGGAATGCTGGCTCTCCCTCCTACCAGCATTTTGCTCTCTGGCGTCATTTCTCTTTCTTCTTCTTCTGTAATCTCTGTAATTTCTTCTGTTACTTCCACTACTGTTCCTCTCGATTGAGAATTTTCATTGGTGCTAGGTCCGGAAGTGGAATCTGCTTCGCTTCCGGAACTGCTGCTAATTGGAAATGGTGCCGAATCGGCCGGAAGTTCGTCGATTGTGGATTTTTCTTCGGTGTCTTCCCCTTCTTTCTCATCTAGAATAACAGTTGTTTCCTCTTCCTCTTTACATTCGCTCTCATTCGGATCTGAAGTTGCGCTTGATGCTTCTGGATCAGCTTCGGAAGTTTCCGCAGATTTTACCGCATCTTCCGGAGTTTCCTCCACTCCAGGAAAAGGATGTTCAATCTCTGCGATCGGAGTCGCGGCTGTGATGACGATTTGAGCTACTCCGAGACCAAATTCGTCTGTTTGGTTTGTAGAATCGTCAGGTTGTTTTGAATCACTGGATTTATCCGTCTACAAATTAAATCTAAGATTTTATATTTGACTGAAGAAAGTTCTCTGAAACATATTCTATGTGAATAGGTGTCTGGAAAAAGGGTGTATGTTACAAATTTTCGGAATTCATTTTTTTATGGAATTGTAGTCAGCATGATCTAAAGAATAGGTCGATAAAGATTTTAATACTTGGCGATGCCGCTAGAAATCAGAAGATACACAAGAGAATAGAGCGAACAGTGATAAGAAAACAGAAGAAAGGCGTATGTGATCAAAACTCTCTTAGGCGGTTATTGTACTGACTTGTGTCTGATTTGTATCACTTTGTGCTGTGCGGTCTTTTTCAATATGAATAGTACCGATTATTTGTGACGCTAAAAAAACTTGTTTTAAATAATACCGTTTTTATGACTTCTAAAAAACATAAAGAATTTTATATTGCATTATCTTTCTTTAAATGGAAAAAAACGCATGTTACATTAGCTGCCCTTTTATCTAACGACATATTGCTACAATGAATAATGATTTTCCGCTGTGTCCTAAAATTTGTGAAATATAACATACACCCTTTTTCCAGACACTTATTCATGTATTCCAAATATATTTGAAAGAAGAACAAAATGTAAAAAGTTCGTTATTCTAGAAAATACATAATTTTATATTTCTTTCTGTACTTTTTTCGAAAAAAATATTATTAAAGATCTAGAATGTTAAGTATTAACACTTCTTATTCGCATTCATCAATGTTTTTTGTGAAATATATATTATAAACATATATTGTTAGTGTTTTGTGAAACACGAATGAGACTACACAATATAAAGCTGAATATGTCGTTAGATAATTTAACATCCTCCATAAAGGTCATCGTACACAGAATCGTATAGTTGTATATGCATAGTATAAAACTATTTGAAGTAATAAGCATATAAAGTCGTCATAGTAATTTAAATAAAACTATGCTAGGTGCTTATTGGTCCAATTGATCTTATGCTATGCATATGTAGCTATGAAAGTTTGTGTGCGATGGCTTTAAGATTATTATTAGTGAACAAAAGAATAAAGATAACTTTTATTTCCTTTTATTTTAATAATTATTCTTTTCAATGATCTCAGTTGATCTTATAAGCCAAGATGGTTTTTAATAATTATTATTTTATTTTAATACTTATCCTTTAAATAAATCTATTTTTGTTTCAAAGTATAAATTTTAAATTCGGCTCATTTGTATATGTGTATCTTATTTTATCATTAATTTTATTCAAATATGTAACTGCATAAATTTTTAAAAACGATTAAATTTTTTTTTAAAAAAGATTAAACTACAATTAACCTTTTGCATTCGAAGGGTTTTTTTGCTAGAAAAGTAGCAACTCAAAGCTTCTTTTGCAAAGAGTTGATAAAATGTCTTTCAACTGACATAAAAATAAATCACACGTTAATTAACGAATAAAAACTATTTAATATTTTAATATTTCATGTATTTTTACAGTATATGCAAGATTTACTATTGAATCAAGCTTTGTAATTTTGCCGAAAAAATGGTGATTGAGAGTCGCTTCTCGAGTGCAAAAGATTAAATGTCTAGTCAATATATATGTGTGTATACGCGCGCACGCACATTTATATATAATTATACCTTATTTGTCTTATCGCCTGACTCGTCTGATACTTCCAGAACTGCGCAGAAAGTCATAATGTTTCATATATTAAAATTTGGATAAATATTAACGGATTAAAGCAAATTTTGATTGAGTTTATGAAGCTCACCTAGGACATCTATTGCTTCTGATTTCTCTTCCTCGAACTGTGAACCGTAGTGATCCTTTTGGTCCTTGGATAGATTTATCACGAATCCTCCATCGCCGTTCATTACTAATTTTTCTTCTTGTGATTCTAAACCTATAAAAAGCGTATACCAACAAAACTTTGAATTTAACACGTTCCGTGCTACGTGTGTATCACTGGTAATATATGACATATTTATTTAATGCGTTCAAAACATGTATTTTGTAATAACTTCAAAACTTATAAAAAAAGAAAGCAATATGAAAATGCAGTGTAGAACAAAACAAATAATTTTTTTTTAATATTTCATAATTAAACAGAAAGACACATGATGCTGTACAGTAACAGAAATAGAATATATAAAATACACAGACTATATAAATATATAGAAAAGTGGAAAAAATAAACAAAATTCTTTTATATAATATTATGCAGAATTTAAAATGAATATTTACATGTAAGGCTGACTTTTTGAGAACACTTTTTAAGGCCTTTTGGCTCATTGTGCATTCGCTCAATCTATTGTCGCAATATAATCCTCATTATTATCTTTATTTCTCTCTTATTCTTATCTTCTTCGTACTTGTCCTTACGGAAAAACGTTCAACTTTTGGCTGTAACGTACAAAATCACGTCCAACTTGATCGTAAACTTTCAATATTCAGCGTTATATGCTCAATTTTGAGCGTTTATGGTTGAACGTGATTTCGTACGTTACGGTCAATAGTTGAACGTTTTTTCCGTAAGAGTGTCTTGTTAATTATCGTTTACTTCGACACTCAAACATTTATTATTATCATTTTGTATTATTGTAAACGTGTTATTTATCTTTTTCCTTTTATTTCAAGAATATATCTTTTGGTAATTTTTATTTTAACTAGAACAGCATTATAATTTATTCATCATCCCTCCTACTGAATTATCTTGATTCAAACCTCAAACACCTTCTGTCTATTGCAGAGCTAGTTGACCCGGAGCTTTGTCGAGTCGATTAACAATTGATACGCCTAACGCTATAAACGTATATGTATAGACTCGAAATTGCGAGGTATTCGCTTTGCGAAATACGCTCGCAAACCTAACTCGCTTCACCTACGACGATAACAGGCATTTATCGCGCGAAATTGGCGTTTGCGTTCGTAACGCGTAACACCCCTCCACTACGCGACGACGAATTATCATCGTACGGACGTCATTTTGAGTTTTCCGCATTGCGTCATTTTTAATAGCAGCTTACGCTCAGTCTATAGTTATACGTCTATGCTTAGCGCGTATTTGGCGCCCGTAACTCTACCTAATTTCTAATGAGCTCGAGAATTCAGTGGACTCAAGAGATTGGACGTTCGCGATCGTGTTCATATTAATCACTTCTTTTTTTCAGCGGCGTATCCACGAAAATACGTCGCAATTTAGTTATATTATTTTTATATTTATATATTTCGTTCTGTTTTGCGACACTAGTTACCTATATTACTATGTTAAAGAATTATTCCGTTAATAAATAAATAAATAAATGATTACCGTCGAGCTGATTAAAATCATCATCGCCCAACAAAAATTCTGGTACTTCTGGTGGAGTAAAAACTGGCGGCGCAGAACTCGGGGGTGTTATATTGTCCTGAAATAAAATAGAAATTGACTCATGTTATATATAATTCTGCTAATAATAAAGAAATCTAAAATCTTCTTAATCTTTCAAAAACACAAAACTGTTCAAATTAAAACCGTGAAACCAGAATTTGCAATAAAAAAATGTTGGTTTCTATTAAAATACTCAACCCAATTTCGAATCCAATTGCTATCAGGGATCTAATTAAGCCAAAATAAGTCTCGCAGTTTTTGAACCTAAACTCTAATCAAGTTTTTCAAAAACACAAAACTGTTCGAATTAAAAACGTAAAACCTGGCGATAAGAAATTAATAATAAAAAAATTGATCTGTTAGATTTTAGGCCTAACTTGGAACTTGGATCTAACATTTAATCTAACTATCAGTTCACCACTCCAAAACTTTAAAATATATAATTTTTTTCTAGAACTGTCATTTTTAAGATTGGATGCATAAAAATTGACATTTTGTCATAAATTACATAATAATAATTTTAAACAACATTTTACATACAACATTTTGTAATACTAACGCCAAACAACAGGCCTGTTAAAGAAGCTTAATAAAAACTGATCAAGAACAAAATTGTTTTTTTTTCTTTTTGAAGTATAGAAATCGAAAGCAGTACAAAAAATTGGAAGTTTTATGTAAAATAATTAACTTGGACGCTGCTGGAACCAAATAACACATTTTTTTCTAAAAATTTAGTCTCTTGTCATTTTTTCAAAATATTCGATTTTGCGAAATATGAGAAAATTAAAATAAGTCATCTTGCATATGTTTTAAACGTGTAAATTAATACACATAGTAATTTGAACTAAATTCAATTCAACAATTACTTTTTGATACTAAAAGAGAGCTTTTTATGAATATTCCTAAAGCATATTACAATATATTTTGGGCAAAAACCTGACAAATAGAAACATTTATTCAAAACGATAAACACATATTTTTCGGTGTGACCACTTAATGTAGCAAATATACGGTACATAACACAGCGTTCAATGTGGCTTCAGCATAACATGGTTCTCGAACATCATATGCAGGAATTTACGACATACTGTGAAATACTTGAAATATTGAAACAAATAATATTTCACCTGTGGAGTTAAAGGAGCTCCATCTGGACCGCAAGGTTCCACAATAAGAGAAGGGAAAAGACCTCGTTGGTCCCTCAACTCACCCTCCCACCAGCCGTCGTCTACATCGTGCGGTTCTTTTTTCACTACCTTGATAATGTCGCCCTCCAAGAAGCTCAACTCTTCATCACATGTCGCATCGTAATCGTACAGCGCGATACAATACTGTTCCACTTCTGAAATTTTAATATGTATATACACATATAATATACAGGGTGTCCCATTTTAAAGGATCTATTTAAATATCTCAGAAACACTATGTTAAATCGAAAAATTCAGACAGAAGTTTTATGACTTTGCGGGAGACATAAGATGGTATCGTTGATTTGACTTGGGTTGTGTATAAGGAGACAGTTTTAAATAAAATAAGAATGCAGGTAGGGATTACAAAAGTTAAAAAAATCGGAGTAAGATAAAGAAAAAAAAATATATAGTAATATTAGAAATTAATTAACTATTCTAACTTTTATAACATCAGCTATGATATTTTTGAAGAGAATTTGAATCATTTAAAGCGTTTTTCTATTTATTTTTAGAAAAATCTTTAGAAAAACGATACATATATGCGTCTCCCATACTCTGATAAAAGTTCCGAGAGACGCATATATGTCTTTCGGCGCGAAAGTGTTAACTCAGAAAAGAAAGATATTAACAGAAAAAAAAAGTTAAAAGAAAGAAGAAAGAAAGTGTAAATGATTTAATATAGAGAGAGTCAGAGACAGAGAGAGAGAAAGAGAGAGAGAGAGAGAGAGAAAGAGTGTGTGAGTGTGTGTGTGTGTACGCGCACTCACACATTCTTATATCTAAGGTATTTGAAATACATGATATTGCTTTTTTTCAACTGTGAGCACTTGTAGGTCAAAAAAAGCTCATAGAATCTGGTTGTGACAATAACAATTTTTGACCACCATCGCGTTAACAGTAAGTATTATTTTTTAAAGTTTTAGCCCATTTGAATGAAACCCAATTTCCATAAGAAAAGTGAGAGATTCTTTCTCAACATACCTCCAATATGATTTTGTACAATCGTGTTTGTAATATCACTTTGTAAATTAGCATCGGGATCGACGGCGTCGTGATCATCGATAGTATAGTCTACAGATGAGAATGAAATCTGCTGAACCAGACTAGGACCTTGCGAACTCAGGCCTCCAGTAGTGATTTCTGGTTCTCTCTCTACGTCAAGATAGTTCTGAGGTACAAAACCCTCTTCTCCACGGTAATTTCTCGCTCTTAACCATCCATCACCATCACCTTCGCCCACTACGTCCAGCTGTTCGCTTTCCACGATAGAAAGTTCATCAGGATTTTGTGCCTGAAAAAAATTTGTTTATTGTTCCATAGATTTATGCTAGACATCTATATATATTACATACACTAGATCAAAGCTTTCCAATTCGCATACAACGTGCGGTTTGCGTTATAAAATCTCTGTGCAATCACGTGATCAGTTGGAAGGCTCTGCACTATATTATATAATATATCATATAAATAATTGGCAAAGTTTGACGTACATATTTGAAGTAACATGACTAACTTCAACATTTGTTTAGTTATTGACTATCAATGTTTATTTTTATCATCATTTTTATCATTAAATTTAAATGAGTTAGTAACCATAAATGTTTTGCACATTTACTTCATTAATTAACTTTGAATGTACTTTGTAATTTCAAGTATTGTGAAAAACCGTATTTCTTCAAAGCCAAAACGTGTCTGCGTTTTCACACAATTTAGTAACTTTCGCGCATCTCCGAAATAAAAAGTAGGTTTAATTTAAACTTTTTCTGCGATCAATGTCTCATCATAAGCTATCATTTAGCACACTAATTGGTTAAAAATTTGAGGACTTCAAAACGAGCGATTTTTTAGAGTCACTTTTTACGAGTTGAGTTTTAAATTGCTGAGTCACCCATCATATTCGTTAGGCCTTAAGAAATAAATAAATTGGAAATTTCATAAGGCCTAACGAATATGATGGGTAACTCAGCAATTTAAAGCTCAACTCGTAAAAAGTGACTCTAAAAAATCGCTCGTTTTGAAGTCCTCAAATTTTAAACCAATTAGTATGCTAAATGATAGCTTATGATGAGACATTGATCGCAGGAAAAGTTTAGATGTAATACTATTGTATTGCTATCTATGTGTTGTCGTAGATACTTATCGCTCGCTTTACGTGTACTAAACCAACTGTCTTATAAAATTGCTTACTGTATAAGAGTAGAGAGCGGTACACTTGTAAATCGGTTGGCTAGAAGGCATCTCTGGTGTCTCATGTATAACTTCGTGCTCATCTTTCTCTTCATTATCCCAGTCGACCGATGTAGGATCATCCCAACCTGCCGTCAACTCTTCTATCCGTTGCTTCTCTTGTTCCAGCAATGCTAAAAGATACAGTGTAAAGTAACTTTTGTAAATTGCAATTAAATATATTTTATTATATGTATACGTACATATAATAACACAATTTAAGCTTTATCATTACCATCGACTTCGGAGCTATCGTGCCTCTGTCTTTCTTCAACTTCGTCTTCCTGCTGGAGTGCAGTCTTTCCAGGCCGCTCAACGGTCGTTAGATCGCTTCCGCCATCGCCATCACTATCGTAAAACGAGTCTGACGACGGATGTTCCTGAAAAAAATATTTTATATACTTATTAGATGGATGTGGTACAGTATGACCCAACCAAAGTTCAGTAGTGACTGCACACATGATGAAAGACTATTACTAAGAGAAACATATATGTCAAGTTTTAACTTCGGCATATTAAAGATACTGAAGATATAAGCAAGCGAATACTGAGGAGTAAGTATGCATTTTAACTCACATCTCATCGATTTTTTGCTCATTGTTGTTGCGTTGTAGATATGTTCTAGGATAGGTAGTACTGAGAATAATTTCTCATCAAAATTTTGCGGCAAACAGTCTTGGTTTAGGATATATGACAATTTAGAGTTTCTGAATTTGGTAAAATTGCACGCTACTCCCTCTTCGATCTTTTATGAAACTTGGTATCTTTATGTTGTTTTTAATCGCTGAAAACGAGTGTGAAAATATTTTTTGTCGGAGGTGTGTAGGCAGGGGATAAAGGCAAAGCCTTTGCCTTGCCGCAAGGAGGACTTCATCTTTCTACATAATCCCTGGATAATCGTGAAAGCGTTTTTTTTTTTACATGTTTGTTGAAGATGACGGCTTGAATATGTCCAACCGACAAAAAATACTTTCGCATTCGTTCTCAGCGACTAAAAATATCAAATATAAAGATATCAAGTCTCACAAAGATCGAAGCGGGAGTAGCTAATGTGCAACTGTACCAAATTCAGAAACTTCAAATTGTTATATTTCTTAAAGCTGTCTCTCGCAAAATTTTTGAGAATTACTCAGTACGACCTGCCTTACAACAAATCTAAAGCGCAACAAAAATGAACGGAAAATCGATGAGATGTGACTTAAAATACATATTTACTCTTCTACATATTCGCTCACTTATATCTCCAGTATCTTCAATATGCTGAAGTTAAAACTTGACATATATGTTTCTCATGTAATAATCTTTTATTATATGCATTGCCATTGAACTTTGGTTTGGGTCATACCGTATCATAGCCTTAGATTTCTATTTTAAATAACAGAAAACATTAGGATTATACTATAGTAAAGAATAGACGTAAAACCACAAAAATATATTTTGTTACGTCCTAGATTCCACGGTTTCCTTCATTTTGCAACGAAATATATCTAATTATTAAGTTTAGCAGAAATTTTAAGAAATAGTCTCGGTAACAAATTTCGGAAGGAAAAACGAGAGCCAAGCGAGATAAAACAAATAGACCCGAACTGGACGACGCATTATACACAAATCGAGCCAAGAGCACCAAAATTAGAAACAAGTTCTATCGATTCCCAAGAAAAAATATGACAGACAATTGCTCTTTATAGACGAGCCACACGCTCGAAAATTCAAAGAAGTCGCCACGGCTCTCGTAACTCTAAAAGTGAATTTTTCACGTGCCGCTGAAACTGATCGATTGAACGACAAAAAAAGTCACGTGCTGACTTTTTTCGCTGACTATTCAACGTCAATTTTTGTACATAAAAAAGATTAGAAGCGACAAAATTGAGAAATTTCACGTTTTTTGTGTTTTGGTGACGCTTTATGTATGTTTACTTTTTTCTATTTTTTCTATTTTTTATATATTTTTTTAAACGTTTTTCGGGAGTTCTGCAAAGTTATGTCCCAGCAAGCAAGCTCACATGATAATGACGTCAGTTTTTGGTCTGCAAAACGTCAATTATGACATAACAATGACGTGATTTTGACGTACATATCACGTGATTATGTCACATCTTATTGACGTCATTATATTACGTCAAGTAGACGTGAATACAATCAAAAAAGTCTCATCAATATAACATGGTAAAGACGTTATTGTAAATTTAAAAGAAAAATAGAATACAACATTTAAAGAACAATAGTATCAACAAATCACAATCGATTATTCTTCTGTACTTTGTCTGTGATTGGTCAATTTCTTACTATTACGGCCTACAACTCTCCATTGTAGACGGCTCTTAACAAGAAACCGACGAGTGAGAATACGTCAGAGAAAACTCGGGAAACCCCGTTAAGCCTGTCTGCGTTGCTGAATTGTCTCGCTCAACCCGCGCATTCCTGACTTCTTCCTTTACGTCAGTGTGTCAGGATGACACATTCACGTTCGCTTGAATGTATCAGTGCGTCTGTTGCGTACTAGCGCCCGACCGTAACCGCACGCTCAGGACGTAACAATTTAATCACGTAGAATCTTCTCTATTTTTGAGCACAAAATGTGATAAATTATGCACTGACATATTGTAACAATTACCGCTGCACCTGATGCATCTGTTCTAACAGAAAGAGAGCTAGCTGAACGTGGCATGTCCTGGACACTGAGCGTTTCGGCTTCTTGCAAAAACTCATCTACGTTTACTGCAACATTTAAAAACAGTATAATTATATGTAACATACACACACACGCGCGCGCGAATGTGTATGTGTGTTTGTGTGTGTATACACATGTATATACATATTTGTGTATATCCTGTGTAAAACTCGATTGGATTTATGTCTCTTTTGCGTAAAATTGAAGATTAATAATTTGCTAGAAAACAAACATAAATAACTAGTCAGTTTCTGAATGTTTTCCAGTAACGGAACACAATCATATACTTTGGGACATAGTGTTACAGTGTCAATTTGTAGCTGGAACGGTATGTAGCTTTTTTTATGTCGCAGAGTACAGGACATTCACTTTACATAACTTATATGCGCGTGTATATGTATGTATGCATATATATGTATGTATATATATGTGCATGCATGCATGCATGCATGTGCGCGCGCGCGCGTGAGTGTGTGTGTGTGTGATAAGAATGAATATAGCATACGTCAATGATTTATAATAGTAATCTAACTCAAAAATATTTTTGTTGTAAAAGTTAGTAATTTTTAACAAATGTTTCTCTTATAAATTACTTATTTTAAATATATAAAAAAAACTGATAAAAAAACGGATTAAATTATGTAAATTAAGTTGTTAAAAATTTATAAAAATAGAAACCTTAAATAAATATATTTTCTGTGATACACTGTTTCTTGAGAATGTGAATTTAATATATGTTATATTATTAACAAACTTTTTGTAAGCTCTATTAACTAATTAAATAAATAAATTATACTATATTATAATTTATTATTTATTAATTACATTTTTTATAGAATATTTATTTTATAATGATTTATTATATAATTACATTTATTATAAAATAATTAATATAAAATTATTAATATAATAAATAGTATCAAATGAAAAAATATTAGCATTTATAGAGTGACACAAGATAACACAGTCGAATACAGCATTTTAGCTTTGTGTTGACTACGATTGTGTTGACTTGTGTCGTAGTTGAAAAGCATTGTGTTCAAGCACACAGTGTCACCTGTTTACATAACTGAAAAACTAACACTCTCTACTTATAAGTAATTCAGCAACACTAAAAATTTTCTATGATACATTTATTTATTTTGATTACGTTTTCTTTACGCATTATTTAGTATGTGTCACGTTTGATTTTCAGTAAAATAAGATATATTTTATATAAATTCTATTATAATTGTATATTAATTTTAGATATTTCAATTTATAAAATATTGTTATAAGTGTATTAGAATACACATAAACAAAAACTTTGTATGTAAATGTTCTGAATAATTTGGACCAAGCTGAAGTATGAAGATAGATTAAGTCAATCTGAACAGAAAAGTCATTTACTATTTTGCAAAATTTGCAGTATTTGTTGACTTATTAATTAATGAACGTGAGTCAATAAGTGCGTAGAAAGTGATGGTTCGGAATCTATAGGCATGAATTTCAGTTGTAAAAATCAGCTGTTTGCAAAAAGCTGTGTCATACGGGTTACTTACATATATTACTTATTTATCATTATTATTATTATGAATAATAATTGTTGTTGTTGTTATTACTATACCTTCTGTATGTGTATATGTATAGTATAACGTACAGAACAGCTCTATAACTATTATAAATTAAAGAATAGGTCACCCTTGAAGTACTAAAATGATACGTAAGTTTGGGAATTTTTTGTGGTAAATAAATAACTTTATTTAAAATCTACTTTATATATATAAAATATTGATTTTTCTCAAAATGGCAGTTATTTTTCATAAAGACCTACAAAACTTTTGCTCTAAAAGTTACTTTTATAAATATGTTAAGTATATATAAAAAGTTCAATATTTTTGAAAAATTCCTACATACTTCTTTTTTACTTAAAGTCAAACCGTATGCCTAGAATTCTGTACACCAATTTGAAACTGCAGAAAAAAGTTCTGCAAGTGCGCCGCCATTTTGGACATAAGAAAAATAAAACAATATTTTTCTAGTTTATTAGTGCTATATGTATATGTACAACAAAGCCCTCTAAGCAGATTAAATACAGTTATTTATTCATATTTCATTCACCTTATAAATGCGAATTTAAATTGTGAAAAAATACAAAAAAATACTACAACCACCACCCGTTAAATTTCCGGCTTCTTGGTCCTATTTAATTGTTTTACCCATATTTATTTACCATAAGAAATGTCCAAACTTACGTTCTTTTTTACAGCTTCAAGGATGGCCTAATTCCTTAAATTGATTATAATAGAAGTAGACGAACCTCCGCCGTTTCGAAGACACTCTATCCTCGCTTCTGCTTTAAGTTTTGCAGTCTGTTTGAAATAGAAAAAACACATATGCGCTCAATTCTCTTTGGATATATCTTTACAGAATCTTGATTACAAATAATTTATTGTAAATTATTTATAATATACAAATCGTACCTCCGCTCGTCGTATTGCATGCTTTAACTCGTCCATCTTAGTATCTAAATCTGGACCATTAGGATCGTTTGGATCAGTCTAAGAAAAACAAATTTATTAAAGATATTTTGCAACTTATACATATGTACAGTTGGTCCCAAGAATATCCAGCCACTTAAAAAATAGATACATTTTTTATAACTTTATAATAAGTTCAAAAACAGAAAAAGACTCAAAATGTATTTGTATCGAAATTTTATTATTTTACAATTAATGATGTAATGATTGTACAACATTAAAACTTTAAGAAAAATTTGGATAATTTGAAAACTTACTATAAATTATTGTCAAAAATGCGACAATTAGCTTAACAAGTTTACTTTCAAATGTTTTTATAATATTTGGACGTTAACATCGCAAACGTAAACAGCACTTTTTAGTTAGAAAGTTCTATTCAAATTCGAAACAAAGAAAAACAAATGTTAAAATGTTAAAAACCACACATTTAAATCGGTGTAGAAAAGATATTTTGAGCTCTTTTTTTAATCATAAAAAGTCATATTTTCTACACAGAATAACTTAATTGATCAAATACTTTAGATGATTGGACATTTCTGGAATCAGCTATACATAGAATAATCTTCACGACGATATGTACATGCATACATATCACACACACACACACACACACACACACACACACACACACACACACA